CCTGAGAAGTTCCTGTCTCAGTATCTGTAGTGGCTGCCGAGCCCCAGCCAAGCCACAGCAACCTCTTTCTCAGGGCAAGTCAAGCTAAAGCCAATCCCGTGTCTGCTGCCCTTGGTCCCATCTCTGGGGAAAGTCTTTCGAGCTCAGAGAGTTGCTTTTTAATTCATGGAGTCACCAGTAGTTTTCTGACAAAAACCAAGCCCATCACAAGCCAGTTCACGCATCAGTTATTTCCTTTGATTTCTCTGCACCCATCGCCCTCCATCCTGGCCCACACTTCATCTTCTCGTGCATGTCACAGTTTTGGTCTTCCATTCTAATGGAAGTTCACTCAATGGCCCGGTCTGCACCCAATAGTCCATGTCGACCACGTGCTCTTGGTGGGATAGCCACCAGGTGTAAAATTCAAACATTGCCGAACATGGTATCCCTGATTCACTCTCACTTGAGATTGTTTTTGAACCCAGAGGAAAGGTTCTGTTCTCTCAATCCAATAAACATGAATGCAAGACAACCAGAGCTGTCCTTTCCTTCTGGCATACCATTCCATGTAGGCTCTGCCCGTTTTCTTTATATCACGTCCACGATTTGAACTTACTGAAATGCAGTCACACCGTACCCACCCTTCACGAGGTCAACAAGCGTGTACAAGAGCACACACACCCTAGGGAGACCACACACACCTGCGGGTACTGACGCTGACCTGGCATCGTACCTGTGCCTCCAGTTTGTTTGTCTCATTCCTGACAACAACAATAATACAACAAAAACAATTAGTACTCTTCCTATTATGGATATGGCTTAGGATTGATTTAGGACGCTCTTTCTGATCGAATGAAATAGTCCCTTCCCTATCCAATGCTATGCTACTTGCTTACTGTATGAAGGTTACACACTGAGGTAAAACGAAACAATGAGCCAGATACCAGCCACGGACCACTCCCATCAAGGGATAATATGATGGCACATCCCCCTCATCACTTGCTTCTTGCTTTGCACCAAACCAAGGAGCAATAGGAGCAGCAGCGAGGGTCCCAGAGGTCACCCTCAGGTCAACGCCTGATGGCGCTGGAGCAGGGGTCGCCAGGGCAACGTGATGACGAGCATGCCCTATACCTGCACCGTCCCAGGCAGCATGGCTCTCGTGCCCTTGAAACATGGCTGGGTGGAGAAGGAACCAGAGTTTTAGCTGTATTTCATTTTAATTAAATTAAAATAGCCACACGTGGCTAGTGGCTGCCCTGTTGACCAAGGGCCATCTCAAGGACTTGTGTCCTTGTTCTTAAAGACCTCAATCTGATCTTCCTCAAAACTCCCACTAGGGGACACTTTCTGTGTTCTCGGAGCTACAGAGAAAAGGCAGAGTGGCTTCGGGCGACCATGGGACGGGCTCCTCTGTAACCAGCAGGGGTCAGGGGATTGGGAACAGGGTCCCCAGGGACAGGCTTCCCAGGGACGGGTGTGAACACACTCCGGGCTTCTGAGCACAAGCAAAGAGCTAAAAAAAGAAATTCCAAGCGGCTTGAAAGACTATCTTGAAAAACAAAAACAGTGGAATGGAACCAGTGGGTGTCCTGTCAGCCTTAAGCAACCACCAGCGCTGGCCAAAAGAACAGAACTAATTGCTTACTTAAAAGGAAAAGAAAAAAAAACAAAACAAGAAAAAACACACAAAACAAAACATGAGAAAAGAACTAAATCAGAAAATATCTAAGGAATGTAAGTCGTTTCCACAGACACTTCTAACCAAATGGCCTGTGTATGCTATTTCAACACGGCTATTTTCTTTCCTGCCTTCTTTTTTCTCCCGACTCGACGGAGACACCTCCTTTCTTAAATGTAATTACTTGTGTTTACCCGTCGAATGAGGGGATAAAACATATGGCGCACTTCTCTTAAGAGCGGGGTGGGCGCCTCTCTGTGCAGTGGTGACCTATGGGGGACACAGCCACTTTCAGGTCTGACTTGGAAGGTCTGGCCACTCTGATCCCATTAGCATTTACCCTGCCCCTAACCAAGCACAGCTGTTTCCTCTCTCCCAACTGCTCCCCTCAGGGGCCCGTTTTTTTTGAAGAAGAAGAAGAAGAAAGGAAGGACCACCCTGAACAGAAAGGGCTTTCTCTCCTCTCCTACTTAAAGCCCGAGACCCAGTTTTGCCAGGAGAAGGAACATGGGAAATACAGCACATGCTTTTGTAAGTCATCAGCGGGCAGAAGGAAGGGCTCTGAAGACAATATTATGATTCTGTTTTCTGGAGGCAAGTTACAAGTGCCACTTTCCCAAACTTCAGGGCTTCCTCCGGAGGAGGAAAATAATTATTTTCTTTCTCAGTATCTTAGGGGAAAAACACCACTAGATCGAGTAGTTCCTTATGGCCCTAATTTTCCTTCCGTCCCCATCCAGCCAGCCACAGGTTGGAATCCTGCCCGCTTTGCGAGCTTGCTCCAAAGAGCCCTACCAACCGCAGGCTGCAATGCATCAGCCGAGTGAGGATAAGGACTAGAATTCCCAACCAGCAACCAGGGCACTCAGGGACGGGGCAAGGGCTGGGCCAGGGGGAGGCAGAAATGAGCAAGCAATGGGCAGGGGTAAAGGCCAGGGTCAAAGGGGGTCACTGAAGTGTCCCGTGCTAATTGGTGGCCTTGCAGCCTGGCCTGGGAAGGCCTCAGACATTCTTAGAGAACATCTGCTCAGAAGAGTGTAAGGGAAGAGGCTGAATTATTAGACAGGACCTGAAGATGAATGCTGGGTAAGAGCCAGGAAAGGTCTCCATGCTGTATCAGCCACGTCCCTTTATTCAAACTGCCTCTGCCAAGCTCCCCTCTTACGCACACATGCGTGCATATAAACCACAACCACACACACAGATCTATAGACACAGGCACAGAGATTCATGCACAAAACACACACACACAGGCATATATATATTTATCCATACATCTACATCTAGGCCGAAAAACACATGATATATGCACATACACACATACACAAAACAAACACCTTGAGAAAGAAACATACATACACATAAGTGCCCACAAATACACACATGTAAACATGAGGCATACACACACACACACACTCAGACACATACCCTACAAATGTTTAAGATAAAAAATGGGGGTTGGGAGAACCACCAATTAATTGGGCCAAGTCTCAAAGGAGAGGAAATAAAATGAAAAATCCAGGCTGGGTTATAAAAATAAGTATTTTTTTTCCAGCGTGCAGGAGGCTCATTATATTAATTAAACATTATTGCAGTGAAGGAGAGGAGGGAGGGTGATTAAGGCTGGGACAGGGTAAGTGCTCTCTCCCGTTGCCCGCGGCTGCGCCGATCCTCAGATATTAATCTCTCCGAGCACTCGAACGCTGAAGAGATAAACACTTGAAATATGAAAATGTTTTTCTCTAGAGCAGACGCTGTGACCCTCTGGGAAAGCAAGTGCAGGCCGTGTCGGGAGGCGGGAGGCGGCCGCAGCGCCCTCCCGGCATCTGTCCTACTGCCTCCCCTGGGGACAGGGGACACTGCCAGTTCTTGCAGTGAGGGGCAGGGGGCAGCTCCAGGGGACCCTGCAGAAGGGGCGGTCCCTTCTCCCTTTATTCTCTAGCCAGGCAACATTTAATCTGCTAATTTCCAGAGTGAACCCCTTTCCTCTCGAATGC